CTCTACAAGGAGGAGTGGTAAAGTACCACCACCGGTTCCTTCAGGGGTTCCATTCCCCTAGTCTACCAACCCTAGCTGGAGTAATCTCCTGCTGATCTAGCATTTACAAGGATGCCCCTACAGATGGGAAAGCCCACTTTGGACACACTTGGACAGTAAAATCAATCACACTATTCAAAATGCTCACCTTGTCTCTGAGGACAACCAGAAGACCCAGCAGCCCACTCCCTTGGAATGGTGGAGTATTTCATCATTAAGGAACTCCCCATTCCCATTCTTAGCCTTCAGAATGACTAAACTGTGAAAAGAGAAGTCACTAAATAGCTAAAAGAAGTCTGGTTATAAAATTTCTGATAACAACAGTAATTCTAGTTTAGCACCAAGTTTTAACTGGTAACTCTTGTGAGGTGTTAGCCTTACCACACAGAATAAAGCCTACCCTTGTAAGGTCCTCAGCCTTTAGTCCCAGAATTGAAAAGACAGCCACTGCTATAAAGAGACAATACTCTCTAGCAGGTTGAAGTTCACTCAAAGACCTAAAACTAATTCCTTTCCTCTGGAGACTAACCAGGAACTGGAACCATCTTTACCTTCCCATTCTCCTTCTGGGTATAAAAGATATGACAGTCCATAGGCAAGAGGACATCAAAACTTCTGAGGACTCAAACAGGCTTGCAACCTTCATCAGTAGCAGTTTTGAATTCAACTTCCTCCCAGTTTTCCTTGTTCTGGGTGCACCCCATCACCCTGTACAACGCGCCTGTCCTACTAACAACTTCCAGATACTTTTCTCCCAGTGGATTCTATCTGCTCTCTTCCAACATGGTGGAAGTAGCAGGATTATAGTACATATTACAAGGGAGTATTTATCCTCAGTGTTCTAAGCCATGAAAGAGAAGGGTAAACAATTCCTTAGGTGGAGATGGGAAAGCTTTTTAGAAACAGGGACTGGATCTTAACTTTTAAAAAACTTTGGTTCACTTTCTGGATTGACAACACATCAGGAAACCTCAACAGAGCTAGGTACACAAATCTGCACGCTGACCCTGCTCTCTTAACATTGAGGGAACCAGGCTGGGGCGGGAAGATGGGGAGCCTTGTTTAAGGCCTATTCTCTGGATCTAAGCAGTTTCTTACCAACTTCCCTTAAAGACTGTTGAGCTCAAACCCACTTACCTCTCCTGTCAGGAGGAGTCAGGGTACATTAAGCTCAACTCTTGATGGCTTGTGACCATTATCTGTGTAATTGTTTTCTACTTTTAAAAAAAGACTCGTATTTTATGGATGCCTCTCATTTAAAAAAAATCCTCTAGTTTTTAATCTAGAGTATTCAGGCACCTTTTGTAAATCCTAAGCTTTTGTTTTGTTTTCGTTAGTTTATGAAGTCTATAGCAATTCTACTACAGAGAACACTTAAGATAATAAAGTGGAGGAAAAAATGTCCTTCATACATGAGATATGCTCAAAGGGTACAGAAATTAGAAGTAAATGCAATGGAGCAAAAGTGGTATAGTAACAGGAAATATTTAATTTTCCAATCTCCACTTTCCATTTTTATAAACTCAAAGAAAAAATTTAATAATTACAAAATATCTGTACACAGACAAGGTATACCTGGTGAGGGGCAAAAAAACGAGAGAGAAAGGAATACAGTGCCAGGAACCTAGCAATCAGGAGAATGAGGTGGCAACTGACACTTTTCTGATGCAGCACTCTCTCTCAAAACCTGCTGGCAACCATTCTAGCACTGTAACTATATATGCATGTCACGCACACACACACAGGTGATTGAGTGATGTCTATCGTATAAGCTAAGAGAAGCCCTACTTACGACTCTGTGCTAACTGCCCTGTTGTAAACTTCTATCTCATGTCGTTTTCAAGTCCTCATCGTTCCTATGGACAGCTGAAGAAAAACCTAAGGAAACTGGGTCAAGCAAATTTGCTTCCAAAACCACAAAAATGATCACGGTCAAACCAGTTTTGCCTCTCATTTATGAACAGAATCAGATTTTGAATCTGTTCAAAATAATGTATTTAACAGGCTTAGTATCTCTCAAGGTCCAATAGTTAAAATCAAAACTTTTGAATGGAATAACTAAACTGGGCTTGCGATTTCTGAACAGTCAAGTTGCTATTCAGCCAAACCTTTTACTTTGATCACATTTATAATGTAGCTGAAAAATTACCAAATACCTGTTTTTTCTCCACACAGATTCCGGGATATTTAAATGACTTTTTCCTCTGCTTTTTAGAAAGAGCCAAAATTACTAAACATTTTTTTTTTTTTTTTTTTTTATTTTTAAGGGTTAGCCCCCCAAAATGGGGGCAAGGATGAGATGGGATCATACATACACACACACACTCACACATTTACCCACCCCCTTCCCTAGTAGGGATGGGGGAATGGAAGCTTAAGTATATAATTTAGAATATTTGGCATAATTAAACATAAGGGAAAAGAGGGGTGGAAAAGTTATTGATGACTGCTGATAACCAAAATACAATGAAAATATACAGAGAATTTTATTCATATTTGATGGGAAAACAATTCTTTTTCACTGAACAGATACTTTGGTAAGTATCCAAGGCTCAGCTTCTTTAATGAAAAACGGGAGTGGGGCCCAATACCTCAAATACAAATATTCTAAAATACAAAGGCCCATATCTGAAGACTAAGAAGTCAACAGAGAGAAGACTCATACGAACTTCAGTGGAATTTACTGACAGCATGTCATTGTGCCTAGTAAGTCTAATTTGACACACTGGTACAAAAAGCCATCAGAGCCAAAATGGCTAGGAAGTTCTCTTACTCATCAATGTTTGGCCTTAAGGTCAAGGCCAGATTAAAAACCAGAGAATAATAAAGAAATACACACACCAATCTCTACCTATTTCAGTAATGGGAAAATAGTCTTCACGTAAGTATCTGAAGAGGGTTCTTTCATTTTTCAAAGATTTTTTTTAAGTTAATGCACCTTTCTCTTATAAGTAATTTTATTTTTAATATAAGAACTTGGCATTGTAACATGAAACTTGAGTTTTGAAAACTATTCTCCACAATGCTATAGCATGTTTGCCTTTTTTTTGGTAGAAGACGGTTAACCTACAGTTCACTAAGGTCTAACTCTGTGCTGATAAGTCCTCTGACATGTATGTTTTTAAAACATGCCATATGCTGGTACTCACAGGAATGGAAGTTAGAATGAGAAGCACCCCAAGTTACCCCACCTTGAGAGGCTGTCTCTTTTTCATTCCTATTTAGGATAAGGCAGAGTCCTTGTCAGAAAGTCATACTTCAATCTTTTTACCAAACCAGATCACTGGAGGAAAATCCCCAAAAGAAATGGCAGGGTATACATGCTAGAATGTGTACATATCAATACTGTTCTTTCTCATAGTATGCTGTTTTAAAGTTCGTTTTTTTAAAAAAGGCTATCAGGTATTGACATAGCTTCAGAAAAATACCCACTCTAAACTAGATCACATTTCCATGTATTTTCAGGATGTTTCTCTTCTCTTTGACAACATCACAATGCTGTTTGAGAGGGGTTTTGACATAAAAATGTATGTGTAAACAATATGCTAATCCTTATTAGCCCTCTAGCATACGGAGGCATCATGTCTAACCACACTTCAGTAGCAATGTCCTATGCTGTCCACATTTACAAATCAACTTCCCCATCAGAACATGGTTTTTTAAAAAACAAAACATTTTAGAATTGAAGAGTTACAGAGAACAATGTAGGATTTTGAATTTCCTTTCTTTTATTAAAAAAAAAAAAAAA